GCCTTTGTGCGTCTCTCCACAGCCTCTCACTGTCCAGCTCTGCCTTTGTGGGTCTCTCCACAGCCTCTCACTGTCCAGCTCTGCCTGTGTGGGTCCCTCCACAGCCTCTCACTGTCCAGCTCTGCCTTTGTGGGTCCCTCCACAGCCTCTCACTGCCCAGCTCTGCCTTTGTGGGTCCCTCCACAGCCTCTCACTGTCCAGCTCTGCCTGTGTGGGTCTCTCCACAGCCTCTCACTGTCCAGCTCTGCCTGTGTGGGTCCCTCCACAGCCTCTCACTGCCCAGCTCTGCCTTTGTGGGTCTCTCCACAGCCTCTCACTGTCGGCTCTGCCTTTGTGCGTCTCTCCACAGCCTCTCACTGCCCAGCTCTGCCTTTGTGGGTCTCTCCACAGCCTCTCACTGTCGGCTCTGCCTTTGTGGGTCTCTCCACAGCCTCTCACTGTCCAGCTCTGCCTTTGTGGGTCCCTCCAGAGGCTTCTGCGCTTAGTGTCTTTTTGGGAACATAGAGCCCAGACCCCCTCAGCTTGCAGATGTGCAGATGGCCTCCTATTGGCACTCATTACAGGATACATGTGTGCTGTTCTCAGGACAAAAGTCAGTCTGTTTGGAGGCAGGTTTGACAGAGCAGAGGTGTTCATCCTCAGCCCCCTGTACTGCTCTCTGCTGAAGGTGGCGCTTGCTGCACTGCTATGGCGTGCACATTCCTCACTCAGCTAAGTGTCGTTGTCATTGCCAAGGCTCCAGGAAAAGGAGCCCAGTGGCAGAGCTGGTGGAAGCAGGCTGAGGGTGGCTTCTCAGTGCTCAAGCAGCATGCTAGATACCTGTCCTTTCTCTTAGTCATGGTCATATCATGTGAAAGACACACTAGGGATCTGATAGAGCTGAAAGTGTGCTGATGCCTGGCACTAGCATGCTCTGGGGGCAGACAGTAGGGCTGTCCTTGAGACTAAAGGAGGAGTGAGCACAAAAGGACACAGTTTCAGGAAGGGGAGAATCAGCCGGGGCTGATGTATCTGCTCCATCACAGCTGGCTAAGTGCCATTCTTATTTGGCACAGCTGATATGGGTCAAGTATAGTCACCACATCTTCCTCCGGGAGACACCACACAGCATTGCCTTCCTAGCTCTGGAGTGCCTGGTCCTCAGGAGCACAGCGACCCTTGTAGATGCCTAGGCCTGGTTCACAGCAGCCTTGGCTAATAGCTAGTCTGCTTTGTCATGTGCTCACAAAGCCATGGCTTCTGCAGCAAACACACAGCAATATAATACAGGTCTTTCTGAATATTGGTCTCATTCCCTGGGAGGAAAAAATGATAAATCTTTTATAACACACATGCATGCAGGTTTTTATGGCTTGTATTAAGTGTTTTCTGGGTGTCTGCCTAATTTTCCAAATCAGATTTGAGTGACTGGGTAAAGTTCAGCCATTTGCAGTGACCAGCCCCTACCCTGGTAATCAAAATGGCAGGCAGCCTCTCGGCCACATCTGAGCTCATGCAACCCAGCTATCCGAGGAGCAGGCCTCCATGTCAGAGAAGACTGAGCATGGTGGCAGAGGGGCTGACCAGGGCTCTTGGCTGAAGGGTGCAGGACCTTTCTCTGCAGGGAATGGGGTCATCTCTGCAAGGGGTCACTGCAGGCTCAGGGCAGAAGGGTAGAGCCCTGCTGAAAGCCTGGGTTGTCATCCACTGGTTATGTCTGGAAGGGTGTGAGGAAGGTATTAAAACATCCAGCTTTTCCCCCCTTTGGCGACATCAGAGTTTGAATTTAAGGCCTTGTGTTTGCTAGGCTGGTGTAATACCACTGAGCCACACCTGTAGCTCTGATCCTCTCCCTTTGCTCTCCTTTCTTCAGCTAACTGCACAACAGATTGCTGCTCAGAGCCCACAGCAGAAGGTCGCATATGCTGCCCAACCAGCACTTAAAACCCAGTTTTTGACTACACCCATATCACAGGCCCAGAAACTGGCTGGGCCTCAGCAAGTACAGACCCAAATCCAGGTGAGTGGGAGTAGGGTTTGTATGTGCCATGCAGGCTGTGAATGGGCAGGTTGGGTGCGGGAGACTACTGGAAGCAGTGAGGGCTAAAGAACAACATTGGAGCCCAGTCTAACCACAGGGTAGAGCCTATAGTTCTAGCCTTTTCTCTAGCCTTTTCCCGCAGCCTTGACCTCCACAGAGTCCTTGGGTAACATGCCGGTAGCCCTGTTGGTGCTGGCTGACCTTCTGGATGAGTCTGCACAGCTGACCACTTGGATGTGTTCAGGGATATAAGGGGAGGCGTTGCACATCCAAGCTGGTTTCTACAGCAACTATTCCAGTCAAACTACTTCCAGGTGTGGCACCTGAGCATGTCTTTATCTGGCAAGTGGGAAGGATGTTGGTCTCTAAGGGTTTGTGTTTCTGGGAACTGAGGAGTGTTCAGTATCTTTCGTTGATTTAGCAACTTTGAGATCCCGCTCTGGGAGGTGCCAGAGTTCAGCAGTCTGGACATTGGTTGTCCCAGTGACTTGTCAGTGCATGGATGCTCTTCTTACCTACTGGTGTGTAGATGTGGTCAGATATGTAAGGGTGCCAGTCTGCTGGCTGGAGTTCTGGCTAGGCAAGACAGCCTAAGACCTTTCTCAGATCATGGACTTATATCTTCCCAGGTCACCTTCCAAGGTTGACTGAGTTTGCTCTCAGGTCTTTAATCATCCTGGAGTTAACCTTTGTATGTAACATAAAAGAAAGGCTCAATTTAGTTTTTCCATGTGAATACCTTGTTCCTTTTAATACTGTGTATTAAAAACTGAGTTTTGAGGGTCTGCTCAGACTTTTCAGGCCCTGCCTTATGTTCACGCCCTGCCCAGTTCCATTACTTTGGCTTGATAAATGACACCTGGCCTCTGGCAGGCATATTTCTCTATTCCATCCTTTCTCAGGATTGTCCTCATTATTGGTGACTCTTTACATTTTCATATTTAATTATAGAGTCAGTTGAGGAAGTTTATAGCCAAGTTCATTCACTGTTGGAATTGTTAGAATTGCATTGCTGTGATTAGCATTAACACTAGTATAAACCTAGCTTCTGATGCACCCATATAAGATATCTTTGGTTACTTAAGCCTTCTCTAGTGCTTTTAAGTTTCTTTTTCATAAAGGTCTCATAAATTGTGTCAGGTTTCATAAATCAATTTATGTAATTGATATTAAGTAATACTTGAGTTGAGCTTTTATAGAGTATGTTTTTAAGTTTCCATCTTCTATTTGTGGCTGTTACATACACATTGATAATAATCTGTAGTCTTGCTGCGATGATTATCATTTGAATAGTTTAAAGTCTTTCTTGGTGGATAATTAGAGGAAAGAGTGTCACAGACTTCTCTGCATGGGCTGTCTTTGAACTGCAGTCCTCAGATCTCAGCCTGTTGAATAGCTAGGATTGCAGGTGTGAGCCACCAGTGCCTGGTTGGCAGTATTTTGTTTGCTTGTTTGTTATTTTGTTTTTTCAGACAAAGTCGTGTTATATGGCCCAGGCTTCCTCTGAACTTACAGTTCTCCTATGGTCTGCCTCCCAAGTGCTGGCTGGGATTCTAGGTGTGCATAAACATCATGCCTGCCAGAGCATTTTTCATTAAAAGAAAAAACACTGTTTAGGGAACATGGCTTAAGTGGTAAAGCACTTGTGTTCAGTCTCCAATACTGCCAACACTTTTGTTTGTTTGTAACACAAGACCAGAAATAAGTTATGGGCGTCCAGTTAGGAGGTACTCAGGTAAGGAGTCCTACTTTTACCAATGCCCCAAAGCTCACCTGAGATGGATTTTTAGTGTCTTAAGCTATTTGTTCACTTCAAAACTATAAAAGAACTGGGTGCTAGTGACTCACTCCAGTAATCCTAACTCCTCAGGAGATTGAGATCTAAAGATCATGGTTAAAAGCCAGCTTGGGTATGACAGTATGTGAGATTCTGACCCCCATTAAACTACCAAAAAAGCTGAAAGTGGAGCTTTGGCTCAAAGTGGCAGAGTGCTAGTCTTCAGCAAAAAGGTCAAGGACAAAGCCCAGGCTCTCAAGCCCCAGGGACACTCTCTCTCTCTCTCTCTCTCTCTCTTGTAGGGTTGGGAATGTGTCTTAGTGGTAGAGTGCTTGCACACACACACACACACGGTTGGGAATCTGTCTTAGTGGTAGAGTGCTTGCCTAGCATGAATGAAACCCTGGGTTTGATTAAATACCACATAAGCAGAAAAAGTCAGAAGTGGTGCTGTGGCTCAAGCGGTAGAGTGTTAGCCTTGAGCACAAGAAGCTCAGGGACCGTGCCCAGGCCCAGAGTTCAGGCAAAGATTGATTCCCTTCTCCCCCACCCCCCACCCCAAAAAAAAAGGAAAAGAGAAAAACTTCCTGACTCGTGTTTACTTCTCTGCTTTATCAAAGGTTGCAAAACTTCCACAAGTTGTCCAGCAACAAACACCTGTGGCTAGCATTCAGCAGGTTGCCTCTGCTTCTCAGCAGGTAGGATGTGGAAAGACATTGTGGCCTAAACAGACACATAGACTTTCTAATAAACTGGATGCTTATTTTGATAGCATTTCTGGTTTTTCATCCTGATTAAAGAATTACTTTTGATTTTCATAATGTATACAAAAGCATCAGCTCTGGGAAAGCAGCTGACATCCTTAACTAGGGAGCAAAGACCTGTCAACAGGGCATTCCAGTGGTCTGCTCTGCTGACGCCTCATTGTGCGGGTGCCTTTGGTGGCCCACTTTCCCTGGATCCCTGGGAGGGTAAACCTAAAGGAGGACTCTGCTTGCAGTGTAGAGCTGGGACAGATAGGCATGTTGGCTGGAGGCAACAGGGCTCTGCCCCACGGCTTTCTCCTGTTTTTATCTATAGTGCAAAATGTGCTATGTGGTATAACACCTTAAGTTTAAAGCAGTTTCTCCCTAACTTTTTATTTTGTTCAAGTGACACTGGCATATGATTTCAAGAAACCAAGTAAGGTTCAACCTGCCTCCTGACCCATCCCTGCCATTCTTCCCTGAACTTAATATAGCACAGCTTTGTGAGTTGAGGTGGTCTGGTGGTTGTCACTGTCAGAGCAGCATGCTTGCTGGCCAGTGCTCTGGTGATATGTTCCCCTCATCTCCTTCAGGCTTCTCCGCAGACAGTGACCCTCACACAGGCAGCGACAGCAGGGCAGCAGGTGCAGGTGATCCCAGCGGTGACTGCCACAGCCCAGGTGGTGCAGCAGAAGCTCATACAGCAGCAGGTGGTGACCACAGCTTCAGCCCCACTTCAGACCCCTGGGGGTCCAAGCCCAGCACAGGTCCCAGCCAGCTCCGACAGCCCAAGCCAGCAGCCCAAGCTGCAGATGAGAGTTCCTGCTGTGAGATTAAAGACACCCACCAAGCCTCCGTGCCAGTAGGAAGGAAGGCAAGAGAGGCCTTTGCATGGAGAACACCACGCCATTTCTGGGTGTTGGGGTAGCACCCTGCAGGACAGACAGCACTCGGCAGCCACTGTCAGTGCAGAGTTGTGTGAGACTATCTTAACATGTGTGACGCTGCAGGAAGAATGGTCCTATCTGTGTTTGTGACAAGTTGAAAAAGTGACGATGGAGACGTTTCTTTCACCTTTCAGTTTTCCTCCAAGGCAGTGGTGCTTGTTTTGAAAGCCATGTAGAGTTTCTATTAGTACGTAGTATTTAGCACGCTCCAGAAGCCATTGGGCATGTGCAGTGAAGTCATAAAATAGACTCTACTTGCTAAAACCTGGCCTCTGGCACTGTCTGCTGTGGTTTGGGTAGAAGACACAGCCACCTCCTCAAGGAATGATCGCAGAAGATAACCTGAGACCAGCTTCTCGCTCCATAGGCACCACTGAGGATGTCCCCCCTCGTAATGCATGGTTTAATTCCAACGGGAAATACTTAGTACTGATTCCTACCCAGGTACACCTGGCGTGCCCCTGCTCACATGGAAGGAACCTGTGATTGGATTTTCATTCCAAAGAATGGCCAGTGTGGCTTCTGGCCCTGCCACAGTGGTGGTAGCTTTCACTTGAAGGAGCTGTGGGTCCCATGCCATCTCTGTATGCCACACGTCTCCAGGGAACTTTCGTGAAACTTCTGGTGTGAGGCCCACGGTGGCACATCTTGTTGGGTTGCAGACGTCACACAATGTGCGGCAGTAGGACAGCTCAGTGGGATCTGGGAATAGGGCCACGGACCCCTTGCTGTAGCCCTGCCCTGCGCTGCCCTCCCCTGCCCTGCCCCTGCCCCTGCCCCTGCCCCTCCCCTCCACAGTCAGTAGAGGACCCC